CTTGGACCTAGGAGTGTTCAACAAAAGTACTAACAAACTGGTTTACAGTTAATCAAAGTAGAATGTTACTTAAGTTTATATAAAAAAAATTATCATTTTGCCACAAATATCGTTTGTACATAAGGATGAAAACGATTTCAGTTCAGCTAGTTTATGAGATTGTGGCTAACTTGTTTAGCAAATCTAACGTACTCTAATTAAAATTTTAAAATAATTAAATTTTTTTAAGAATGAATATTAAAAAGAAATGCTACTAACGCTCGACGGCCGCGTTAGTTCAAGACGTTCGACCTTTGATTTATTTTTCTCTCGTGTTGAGATTACATGAACATAAAAATAATTTATGTAAAATCTCTGCATGTGATTATAATTATATATTAATGAAATGAACCGGTGGAGATGATAAAAAATACATCTCCTACTTCCAAAAGATATAAGATTTTATACGTAGTAGAGGAATCATTTTATGTACGAAACTCAAAACAACACCACTTACTTACTATATATTTGTATTGGTAGGCTAATTCTGTTTCTTCACGGCAATTTTTTTTATAAGAATATTTTAATTAAATCACATCGATTAAAAAAGTTATCGAAATTATTTTATATATTAATTTTTGTAAAATTATTTATAATTAAAATTAAATTATATTATTACATTAATTGTTAAGATGTTGAAAGTTTTAATAATGAAAGATAAATATATATAAGTAAATAAAAAATACTAAAATACACTTTTTTTTCAGTAAATTTTTAGTTATTAAATTAACAATTATTAAAAATTTAAATAATTGTGTAAGTGTCACTCTTTTTCATTTTAATTTAATTTTTTTTACACTTTTAGAATTTTTAATAACTAATAACTTAGAGTGCGTTAAAAAGAGTATATTAAAAAAATAAATTTCTAATTTTGCTCATAAACAAATTCTTCTTAAAATTTTATAAAAAAAGTCTTATAATAAGCATCAACAAAAACCTCTAAAAGATTCTTATAATAAAAAATCAAAGAAAATATTATTTTGACAAAATAAATTTCATAAATTGCTCTTTAATTTTATATATCTTTAGAACGCTACATTTTTTTTTGTTCTACAGCTAATATTATTTTTTGTTGTTGATTGTTAGAATTAAAAAACTTGTTAGTTTGTTCTTTATTTTTATTGCCATTTGGTACGCATAATACTTTTAGATTGAAAATTATATGAAGTGATAACGTATAGGTGCATTGACTTCGTTTTTGACGGGAAATGATATATAATTGTGATAAAAACTAATCTTAAACCTATAACATTTACTTACAAAACTTAAAAAGTAATTAATGTGTATGCATGTCATGCACTTGTATAAAATTTAGTTACATTTCTATTATGAAAAAAGTTTAGTTATACTATGTTGTCAGATGATATAATTTGTCCTTAACGATCTTTTGACAAATTTGAAACTAATTTTATTTAGGTTTATTAGGAAGTATATATCATGCTTTGATTTGATTATGATCCTTCGTCTTCGTTAAATGGAGGTGTTAGCTCACTATCAACATGTATTAATAAGTATTACAGCACATAATTATAAATTAATTAATACTAGATTCTAAAATTTGATATGAAAACTAAGTTCGTGCATGTTGTTTGGAATATGTGATCACTACTTCAAGTTTGAACTTTAAACAGCTAGCGAAAGAGGTCCCACGGATATTAGAGGAAAGATAGGACCAATCAAGGTCATCGATGGAGAAGCTAAGAGCAACCCAATTCCACATATTCAAAAAAGAGTTTGGAGAAAGCGTAAAATGTCTAAAAAGAAGGGAGAGAAGTGGCGACAAATTTTGGGACGCATGCATCCTGTTGCTTCCCTTGATTTTCCTAAGCACACATGAAATTGTAACCTCTGGTCCCATTCCATGACCTGTCCACAAAACCCATTCTTCTATGGCCATCCTTCGCATATCTCTTTCTTTAATCTATTTTTTCTTTGACTATGTCAATTTTTTTTAAAAATTATTTATATATCCTCCTCCATATTAACAGCAAACAGAGCAAGCCATAGTAAATATTCCATTTTTCCTTCTTTTAGTTGAAATATACCAGTCAGTTCCATATTAATTCTTCTAACTTGATTTTCTTAATGGATGATATTGATAAACGTTTGTGTCAGTTAAAAGGGATAGATGGAGCGAGCAAAGTTGGACAAAATGGGAAAGCGGGATTCACAAATTTGCTTATGTTGTTTCTTTCTAAGTGAAGATTATTGTGGAAAGAAAAAAGTGGAGAAAAAGATAGCTAGCTAGGTAACAACTTGCAAGTAGCAAGGTAACTAGGGAGATTTGATTCGGGGAATTAAGATAAAATTAGAGGTGAGGGACAGAGAAAAAAAGAGAGAAGAGAATAGAAAGAAGAGGTAGCATACTTTTGAAAGGCCCATGTGGTGAGCATGTGGGGATTGCAATGTGCTCTTTTTCTTAAGGCAATGCCAAATCCCAAGTGCCCGGGAATTCGAATTCCTGTGGGACCTGACGCACTCGTATCAGCATGTTTTCCGGATCCTGCCAATTTTCTTTTCTGTGCCTCTTCTGTTTCTCCTAACTATAGCTGCGTGTGCCCTCACACGCTCAACCCCAACCCTAGCTATAACTCTCTCCATTCTGTATCTAAATCATTTTATACATACACACACGCATTTGATTTGATTGCTTATTATGTCTTTCTACTCAATTGCATACTATACTCTCTCCTACTGAATTATGTATCATTAAGCTAGGAGTAGATACTTCTAACCATTTTTTTTTTATGTTTAGAAGGTATTTTTAAGACATATGTATTAAACAATAGATAATAATAATAATATACGATATCATGTGTTGTGTTACATTTTAATAGTTTAAATAATAGAATTGTGATCAATATGGGTAAACATATGTGCGGTTGGAGTTAAATTTATTGGTCTCAATCAAACAATCTCTGTCGATCAATTTTTAATACAATCACATATATAAAATAGTATCGATTACTACTGGGTCTATATGGATATTTTTTTAATAATTCTTTTTTACTTTAAAGGGCACGAGAAAAAAAAAAAGAAAAATAAAGGTTAATTGATGTAGACTTTTGTAGGCTCACTCAAATACAGAATGCTGGAAACCTTGACTGGATAACCTATAAAAGCATATTTACCACATTCCAACTCCAACATTCCAGAAACATAGCAAATCAAATTACTGTGAGGAAAGCTTATTTTACCTTTTCCCCCCTTGGTTGCTCGTTTTATAGCATAATAATTAATAAAAATAACGGCACATGAGATCGTTTTTAATTATGATTTGAGAACATGCCACATGCATGAGAATTGTATGGTAGCCAAACATTAGTTTGCATGTCAACCAATCCCAAATGAAAAATGCGCATTTCATGCCAACTCCTAAGGCTGTGCTGTTGTTCTTTTATTGCTATCTATCAAATCAAATCAACAAGAAATCATAGATTTTCTTTTTCCTATTTACCTGAGTACGTACCAATGAAACGGTTCTATATCTTGGAACTATTAACGTTATTATAAACAATATACAAACTTTCTAAAAATGACTATTCATTGTACCTATCAAACAAGCTATGCATAACGACGGTGCTATATTATATCTATCCATGCGAGGGTAGGGAAATAAAGCAAATGCTTCGCTTTCTCTATTATTTATGAAATGAGTAAGTAGAATAAAAACTTAAAAAATGTATCATTTAAATGTTGTAGTTTGGTACACCAAGATTGGTCCATCCACATTTTAAGCAAATTGCTTTTAAAGACAGAATAGTGCTATATAGCGCGAAATGGAGTTCACGCCAAATACTTAAGAAAAATACGTGACAATGGTAAAATTACATAACAAATGTGTCGATTTCAAAATGCATGATGCAGTACAGCATACGCGCATAATTATTCTTCAATCCTGATTAATGTTATGATTAAATCACGTTAGTTAATAATATTCACCACGATAATTAATGCATTAACATAATCGAATTTTGCAAAACTTTATATTATCGGAAGGTTCAACCTCATGTAAAGTCAGTGAAGATCACCACTTTCAATAAGGATTTATACATGAAATTACATATTTCCTACTAATAGATTACCTTAATTAGAATCGAACTCAAGCCCTGACTTTACAAAAGGCAAAGGCTGACCACATAAGTCAACTCCCTATTAGTAACGTTGATAAGTTTTGAGCATTTTAAACCAAAATAAAAAATATAATCATGTAAATCTTGCATCATTTATATAATCTAATCTATGTAACGCGTCATGATTAAAGCATGTTAGCATGTTAGATAGATATATTTGCTTGATTAATTATTGCATAAAGAAAGTATTCCACAGTCTAATTGACTAAATTGAATTTCCATTAAACTTAGTGGTGCAATAAAAAAGAATGTTGATATATTTTGAGCATGTTAAAACACAACACATTAAAAATGAAACCATGTAAATATGGTTTTCAGAATTAAATTAATATTAGTTTTAGTTTAAATGAAAATAAATAGAAAATCTGAAATTTAAGGAAAAAATTAATCAACTAAAATACAAAGCATCCTATTAAATTCATAATTTGATTTCCCTAAAATAGGGGGTACACTTTGAAAGATAAAATATAAAGTTATAATCATTAATTAAAAATAATTAATAGTGATGATATGGTACAATCTTGCTCTCACGGAGTTCCACTCGCGGGCCATAGGCACATTGTTTCTAAGCGAAACGTATTTAGTGAGTTTTGTTTGTATTCAAAACAAAGATACCGATGTTAGGTTTGCATTACATTAAGGTCACCTTTATTCTTCTTTACCACTAATCTAAATACATTGTTTTCTTTATAATGCAACATTATTCTCTATGGTTTGGGTAGTGGGCCAGGGACTCCATGTGCCAGCATGTGCTGTGTCTTTCTCTCGAAGGCCCACCACCCTCATCCTTCGAGCACATAAATTCTTTCCCTGCTCATTCTTCCTCTTCTCAATCCTTTCTCTCTCTCTCTCTCTCTCTGATCCTCATCATATACTACTTTGCTTGGATCTGTAACACTGCGACGTCACTCATCAAAACTTACCCTTCATTTTTCTTTCTTCATCTGCTACTCCCTCTGTCACAAGAATTTCCGTCAAGGTACGCCTTAATTCATCATTTTTTTTTCTAGTTATATTGCATATAATTAAATTAAATTAAATTAAATTTAAACTTCTCTAGCTATAGAAAGCCCTAGCTAGCTAGCTAGCTGGCATATACATCACCCTATTTTGCTGACACTTGCACTACAACATATTCTGAATTCCAATTAATCTTGTTTTACAGAATGCGAAGTATCAGCTCACTGAAGCAAGAATTCCTGAAGAAATGGATATGGGGTCTGAGAAAATATTGCTCTCAGAAGAAAAGCATGAACCTTTTGGAGAGAAAGAAAGCCATAAAGCTGTCTGCAGATTTAGCCATGGCTTCCACCAGAAACAAAAGCACTCGCTGGAGCAGGGCCCTTATTGCCAATGCTTCAAGAGATGACAACAACAAGGTCCTCGCGGAACACATGATAGGCTTATCACAACAACAACACTGGCAGAGGGTAAGAAAAAGCTTCACCAACAGAAGGATCAAAAACAGAAACATCTTGAGAAGAAACCGTTCAGTTCACAGACCAAAGGACAGAGTGATGGCGAGTTTCATTGCCAAGAAGCTGGTCCAGAAGAGAACACGGAGGCTCAAGAGTCTGATACCAGGAGGAGAATTCATGGACGATTTGTCTTTGATTAAAGAAACCCTAGATTATATGCAATCATTGCGAGCTCAAGTTGAAGTAATGAGATGTGCTGTCACTGCTGCCTCGGAGCGGATTATGAATCCATCGTAAATATCTCTATAGAATTATGAATATGACCAATCCATAGCGTTTAATTATTAGCTTCTTTATTACTATTATTATATATTTATATTGTGTTTGAAATATTTCTTTTCTTGTTTTTTAAATTTCCCCTCTTCACACTTTCTCTTTGCAAAAGCTACAAGTGATGGAGAAAAAGAGGCACTCCCATTTATACGTTAAGGCCATGTACAGAGGTAAACATATATGTAAGTCAATCAAATTAAGTTTTTATTTTCATCACGCTGCTCGATCGGAAGGTATATTAATAAGTTTCATTCACATATGATGTATATTTGCGTGTTTATCTTTGATTCGTCTATTTTTCTTTTTCTTTTATCATCGATTACATGAGTCGGTGTTTGTCATCGAACCGAAGTGAGGAAATTGATAACTCATGTCAGCCAAATTGATCCATGTTTGACAATAAACATCAAATCCAACAAGTTTGCTAATTAATCTATATATGCTATATATGCCGGTTGTTTATATGTGTGGTTACGCCTCGATTGTTACACATATATCATAACACTAAATTAAAATTAACTCGTTACTCGTGTATATACACTCAATGATCAGGGGAAAAGAGAAAGAGAGGCAACTCTGCGTAGGTAATTCAAGGTTTCTATAGTTGATTTTGGTGAAGAAACGTTATTCATATTTTGCACTATTGAGGTTTATGAGAAAAAATTGTTTTGACGTGCACATATTTAACAAACGAAAGACCAAATTGCACGGCTCTTTACCATTATGACCAGGAAGAGCCTAAGTTTTTTTTTTCTTGCCTTGGGGGAGTGGGGGGTATTTCTGGATAGATATGCAGCCTCACACGTGTTATGTTAACATGTATTTAGACTATTAAATCTCATATATGCACACACACTAACAGCTGCTAAAATTGAAGATATAGTATAACCATCATTTTTCCATAAAAAACATGAATATCAATTCACAATAACCCTATCAAACACCTGGCAAAGCAGCATATATATTATGACTAGAGTTTATCTTTCACAAATGAATTGCTGTAATTTTAACTACCTAATGTGCATTGTGTATGTTTTGAGCTAATTGCATTCATCTTTGTCACCTTAATTAGAGGAAGAAATATCTCTAACTAATCTATTACGCATGGTCGAGGACTTTGTCTTTCTAGATTTTATATATTCAATATAAAATATAATATAGGTCTAATGTGTATACTTTGTATTAATGCTTGCAAAATAATTACATGAGGATTGGTTAGTAAAAATGAAGTTTCTTGCATTATTTTTAGAACCCAAATAAATCTTTTCAACTCGCAATATTCTTTCGGTATAGAGGCCTTACCTCTTATATAAAAATTATCGATGAGTTATGTAAACAACTAGGAATATAAACAATGGCGCTTAGAGTACCTATATTCTGATGAATAAAATTTTACTTGTGAAAAAAATAATGAAGAACTGGGAGAAACCCTCCCAAATTCTTTTTTTTAGTGCAATAAGAAGTCTGTCCCTCACATTAGCTGTTACACGACAATGCCATTAATTAGCTATGAAAATGTCATCACATTAATTAATTAGTAACCATGAAAACGTGTTGTTAACCATAATGACCTTTTGGAGCTGGATGCATGAAAAGCATATACATCCTGTCATAGTTTGAAACTATACTAATTAAAGTTTTGCGAGGTTTTTACACATACAAATTAACAAGAAGGGTTATATGCGATAATAAGTGAATCGTATTCTTATGAAAAAAAAAAGAATCAAAGTTTTCCTGTAAAGATAAGGTGATTATTCGGCATGCCGCGTATAATTACATAGTGCTTTTATGGGTTAATCTGCTTCTAATTATCTTTAAAAAGACAAACAGATTATTATTTTTATTCTATGGAGTACGAAATTACAATCTCCTAATGAACGTCAGGTGAGGGTAGCCTTATATACTGCACTTCAGAAAAGGATTGAAAAATGTTGCAGGTTAATTTTTTTATTATTAAATGTTGTACATTAATATACTATTTTTGAACCCCGTTTATTTCAGTTTTCTTTTCATGAATGATTATTACGTTATTCTCGTAATTGATAATTACGTAAGATATAATAGGTCACCAAAGATGCAAGGATAATTTGAAATATTGAAATTGTAGATAAATTTTTTTTGAAGATTTAAAAAATAAATATACTTAATTAAGTAATTTGTCTCTAAAAATATCACCACTTTTTATTTTAGTCTTTTTAAAAAATTTATTCAGTTTTAATTCTAGAAAAAACACATAATTTATCGGTAATATTTGAGAATACGAATTAAAATTGTTCGAGTAGGATGACGTTCGTTTGGTAATGTCTTAAATCAATCTTTGTCAACGAATAACTAAAAACCCATTATATATTTCCATAAAAATTTGGACAAGTAGTCAATTCTTTTCGATTAGCAATATGCATTAAATTATATCTTACAAAAATATGAATTATCTCACCACCGCACCTGTTTCTCTCAATTATAATTGTATTATCCACGTTTTCTTCGGACTTTACATCATAAATTAACTATGCAGTCTCTTCAATAATTATTTTCTCTTGTATTACGACTCGCTAACAATTTCGTCTATTGCATATTTGTTTTTTATTAAAAATATTTAAAGTTGCATAATTAATAATTAGTTCAGATAAATATTAAAATGTAAAGTAAATATATAAAATTGAAATCAAAAGGAAAGGCTAAGAATAATCTATATTATCTTAAAAAAACAAAATAAAAAAAATAAAAAATGAATATTTTGATTTAATCTATAGAAAGAATTAGTATATTTTCCTGTTCATAGAATTAGTATATTTTGATTCGATATATATGAAATATTAAAATATGAACATAGTGTAATTTTCATTTGTAAGGATAGAACAGTAGTGTGTTGCTTATGGATCCAGATTTTGTGCGATAATTATAATCTGCATTTGAGCTATTTTTAGATCTGCATTTAGACTATTCATATATTTTTATTTAAATAAAAAACTTTCGTTTAAAAAGTGCAAAAAATTGTCTAATTAGCACAAAAAATGACCGTTACTTATAATCAGTTGATGGGATGGGATGAACTAGCCAAACCTCTTGACTTAACTCTCTTCTCTCAAACCAATTATTGTTGCTTGACAGCTATTTGTGATCCATTAGTAACCAATAATAATGATAGCGTAGTTATTTTAGTTGTTCATGTTTACTTCCCTTTCTGATACGCCCCAATCAAATAAACACAAACTATCATGTATCGTGGTATCTATCTCGTCTACAGTGTCCAAAGCACCAAACGGTGGTATTTGAAAAATTTGTGATCGGGTGAATTACGGAAGGGGTTGGTGGATTTGAGGTTGTGATTGGTAGATAATTAAAATTTTATTATTTCAATAATTAAAAAACACGGTTTTTGGTATTTCATATGGGGTTGTATTTTTTTGGGATTGGTTAGGATAGGTTTGATTGCAGTGCTGCAAGCCTATTTGAGTAGCCCACGACGTGTCAACTTCGACCTAAAGTGCGGAAATTGACTCTTTAAAGCGTGACACGGAGAGTTGAATGGCCCAATTTGAGCCCAAGAGATGTAGTGTTTTCAGAAACAGGGCCCTCTCCCCTCATTTTTAAGTTTTACAGTTAACTGAATTTCACCGTATAACGAAATGTTGACCAAAGAACAGAACCCAATAACGAAATTAAATAATTATAAGACATACCGTTTACCGTACGAAACGAAACGCTGTTATTTATAATGAAATAACAATACGGTAAAGCGGTTTATAAACGTAGCCTAACTTGTATATTTAAGATGTATTTGAATAGTTATTTTATTTAAATAGTTATTTTATTTAAACACTTATTTTATACATTTTTATAATATGTTTGGATAACAGATTAATTAAATATTTATTTTTTTATATTTATATCATACAAATAATTTATATCACAAATTTAATTATAAATTTTATTGAAATAAATTAAAAATTTATTTTTATAAATATTATAAAATGACTTATTGAAATGAGTTGAGAAGATTAACTTATAATTTATTTTTATAAGTATTTTTAATATATATAATAAGGATTTATAATATAAACTTAATTATAAGTTTATTGAAATATTTTTTTAAAAATATATTGATAAATTACATAAAAAATTTAAATAATTTTTAGAAATCACCAAAATTACAAATTAAGTTCATAATTTTTTTCAAACACCTCGTTAATATGGAACTATAGCTGAGACATAAAGTTAAACATACAAAATAAAACATACTTTACTTACACTAGTTAGCAATGTAGAACATCTTGAAAAGATTATTAATTCATATAAGTGTGTGATGTAAAAAAAAAAAAACAACTTCAATAGAAAATAAATTATGTATACATGTGAAATTCATGTTTTGTGTTTGACAACAATATGGTCCATCTTTTTACCTATTTATTTTTGTCTTACATATACATTTCAATAATGAAAATATTTCCTTTTCTTATGTTAATTATATTCTATTCCTTACTTTTAAAAAATGTAAAGAGAATAAAATTAAAATTTTGACAACAATTTATTTAAAGCATCTATTGGCTAATAACTACAACATGCTTTTAGAGATAAGTTCTGCTTTTAGATAAACTTCTTAAAAAGTATTTATAAAAATAATAAAATTAATTAAATTTATTTTATAAGTTAAAATTGATTTTTATTTATTTAAAATATATTTAACTTTCAAATATAATTTTTTTAAGTTATAAATTTGTTATTGATATTTTATATTAATTTTCTCTTATGAGTAATTACGTAGAAAGTTATTCAATTTGAGCTTAACTTTGTACGGGATGTGGGTGGGAGAAAAAAGTAAGGAAAACACGTAGTGTTACTCATCCACTTAATTTTTTTATGTGTAAGAGACGAGAGAAAATAATGATGATAAAAACTAAATAAGCACATAAATACCATTTTCTACAGTACAGCAAAGAGAACACAGTAACATCAACTAACTCCTACAATAAACTAAAACAATCGTAGTGTGAAATTCTGAAGGAGAGACATTCCAAATCATAATGCAATCTTCATTCTAGCTCATTTTCGGCCAACCAGTAAGCACTAATAGGTTTATACGTAAGATCAAGTTTTCTCAACCAAACGAATTCATATACTTTCTAAATTAACGAACAATGGGGTGTTACAATTTAACTTGTAGTCTAAAAAAGAAAATCTAATAAAAATGTTCATGATTTTTAAAAATAGAATCTATAATTCATTTACGTAAGCATTAATTATATATTGTATTTCTTATCTAATAAGTTCTTATTTATAAATTTATTTAATAATTTTTGCGGTTCAGATTTGATAACTATTTTAAAGGTAAATTAATTTTAAAATTAAATTAAATAAATAAAAATAAAATTTTGACTTCTTAAGAAAAAACTTATTTACTAAAAACAAAAAAAAAGAAGAAAAAGAGTTATTTAGTAATTAAAATCTGAACCAAACGTATCACTATTCTTATAGTTGATATATGCTGCCACTAAGCCCAATATAATAACCACCCAAACAGTTCAGTCCACAGGGCTCTTCTGTATATATCTGCATAAGAGTAGTGTTGATGGGTTAAAAAAACAGAGTAGTCGACAAAAAAAAAAAAAGTAGTAGTTTTGACGAGAGAGAGATATTTATTTCTAAAAATAAATCTAATCTATCAATACTTTGATGGCTTTTTCTTATTCCAAATTCGATCAT